TGGTGATGACAGTCTGATTGCCACAGTTCATAATGATAGTCAGAACCGGTTTATCAACCAATGACAAGTCCATCAAAAGATCTCGAAGCCATCCTGCTTTGACACCAGATGTGTCTAATGCTGTTAATTCTGCTTCCATTGTCGATCTCGTTAAGATCGTTTGCTTGCAAGACTTCTAGGAAACCGCGCCACCTCCAAGAGTAAACATATACCCAGTTGCGGCCTTCATCTCATCAGCATCAGAGATTCAATTCGCATCACTATACCCTTCAAGTACCGACGGGTATCCAGTATAGTGAAGTCCATAGTTCATCGTACCTTTTAGATAGCGCATAACTCTCTCAACAACATGCCAATGTACATCACCCGGTTTGGAAACAAATCGGCTCTGTTTGCTCACAGCAAATGTGATGTCAGGCCTCGTTGCGCTCGCTAGGTACATGAGTGAACCAATGATTTGAGAGTATCTCTGTTGATCTTTAGTCGTGCCTTCGAACTTTCAAATTAACACGCTTGGATCATATGGTGTTTGAGATGGTGTGTAGTCCGAATATCCAAAAAGACTCAACACCTTCTCAACATAATGGGATTGCAGAAGTATGATACCACTCTCATTATCTCTCAGTAGCTTGATGTTCAAGATAACATCAACCACACCAAGGTCCTTCATCGGAAAGTTCTGAGACAGAAACGACTTGACCTCCTCAATGACTTTGAGGTTGGTTCCGAATATCAGTATGTCACCAACATACAAGCACAGTATAACTCCTTCGCCCCCACCATGGCGATAGTATACACATTTGTCAGCTTCATTAACAATGAAGCCAACAAATGTCAGAGTTCTATTAAACTTATCATGCCATTGCTTAGGTGCTTGCTTCAGGCCATATAAAGATTTCAGCAACCTACACACCTTTCTTTCCTGACCATCTATCACAAAGCCATCTGGCTGTTGCATGTAGATTTCCTCGTTTAGCTCTCCATTCAGAAAAGCCGTCTTAACATCCATCTGGTGGACGAGAAGACCATGCGAGGCTGCCAACTAGAGTAATACTCGAATGGTAGTCAGTCTAGCCACATGTGAATAAGTATCGAAAAAATCTTCCTCTTCTTTCTGGTCATAGCCCTTGGCCACAAGCCTAGCCTTGTACTTTTCAATCGTACCATCGGGCCTAGCTTCCTTTTGAACATCCACTTACATCCCAATGGTTTACAACCATAGGGACGCTCAGTGATCTCCCATGTCCCGTTAGCCATGATGGAATCCATCTCGCTACAGACCGCATCGTTCCAGTAGTCAGCTTCTGGAGAGGCATACGCTTCTGAAATAGAAGTGGGAGTATCATCCACGAGGTACACGAATAAATCATCACCCTTATAAGGAGGTCCAACTCCTCTTCCACTTTCAGGGTGGGACTAAACTTCCCACTACACCTAGTGCCAATAAACCCACATGGGCCCTTAGAGATTTTTAGAAATTGCTATATGGGCCTCAAACCCATCCCAAATTTCAGCAGTATGTGTACCTTTGGTTTAGTGAGTTGCCAATATGCACCTTATCAATTTTTATCATGACCAAAACTTTGGTCTTATTTTGGATGGTTGCCAACTTTTGGCATACCAATGGCTTCTTATCAACTCTAGTTGGTCAACTAATAGGCACACAGAATTTTGGGTCTTAAAATTGACAAAGTCACCACAGCCCTCCGAAAAAAATATCACCACAGGTGGCTCATTATTGACAAGAACATCACTAAAAACATAAATCTTCTTACAAGACAGTGCACTATCGACGGTAATGTCACCTTCCACTGAAAGAATAATTCGTCACCTTCAGTGCTTCTCCGTCTAGGAATAATTACACCTTTTAGGGCATGAATCCGACTGCTAGTACAGGCCAGATGGGTTTAATCCTTACAAAATGGATCTGGCACACCGACAAGCCAAAAATCAGCACCCTATTTGATGATTTACACAAATCCATCTCTGACATGGCTAGTATAAAACGCTCACATAACACTACTACCCCCAAGCAAGAGCAAGCCCGCATCGCAGATGCATGTCCTATATCGCTCCAAAACTGCCCTATCAAAGTTGTAGCCAAACAATGATAAATAGACTCAAATGTACAATACCATAATACATATAGGGGCCGGCAAATGAGTATCCTTCCACGTTTGCAACTCCTGTGTCAGCGACGAAGGAAGCACCGAACGTTGCTTTTTGCCCAGACCAGGAGAATCGGTTTCCAGCAACACACCTGTGAATTCTGCACAGATACTGAAGTTTGGTATAGAGATTTATCAGAGACTTGCAATGGATGTCTTTTGAGTTTTGAGCACTGAGAAGAAAATCTCCTTTTTGGCTGCTGACTAGCTCACATTTTGACACTACGGTTGTCCTATACTCATTGGATCACCCGTAAGGACAGAAAATATATCCTTAGTCTTTTAAACTGGAAACCACGTGTTCTTCAATCTTTTCAGTGTAGACGCCGTGTGTTTCAGCCACTCTGAACTGCAACCTGCGCTTCAGTGCGTTCTAGGCGTTTTTCTTTTCGCTGCTGTTCTAATCATCTTCGATTTCATGCCGCCGGTCGTCTTACTACGGCAATTCCTGCATGTAATATTTGAGCATGGCTAACCAATATGTGATTCTCTGATGAATTCCACACATCAAAGGTGCCGCGCAAAACCGAATGATAATAATTATGCACCGCAACACACAGTATTTCTCATTTCTTCATCCAACAACTGAATGATATCGCATATTCTATCTGATGGATCAAGTTCCTGCCCACCTGATGCAAACACCTTAGCAGCACCCTTCACGTGGATCCAGCTACAGCCAGGAGACTTCTTGACACCATGCTCTGCCATGGCCCTTCTCACCCCCTCGGCTTCCTTCCACTGTCCAGTGGCGCACAACAAGTTGGACAGCACCACATAGCCAGTGTCTCTCACAGGCTCCGTTGACACCATTCTGCTCCCCACCTTCCTTCCGATTCTTGCGTCCAGGTCAACTGATGAGTAGGCACTAAGCAGAGACTCGCGCATATCGCTGCTATGCGTATGAACTGTTTCAGAGTATTGGTCCAGCATCTCAATGGCTTTTGCAATGTTACCTGATCTAGCATACATGTCGAGAATGCAAGCTAGATGCTCTGGTGTTGGCTTCAGTCCATGGACAGACACCATCGACTCAAAATAGGTTCTCCCTTGCTCCAGGAGCCCAGAATGGCTGCAGGCTGTGAGCAGGCCTGTGAACGTGACTTCATCAGGGCAAACATCGTGGGACAACATCCTTTCATACACAGTAAATGCTTCCTTTGCCCATCCATTTATCGCGAACCCAAACAGCATGGTGTTCCATGAGACAGAGTCCTTCTGAAGAATGGCATGGAACACATTGCCTGCAGCCTCGACATCGCCACACTTGGCGTACATGTCCATCAAGCTGTTGGCCACATACAAGTATGAAGCAAAACCACTTTGGAATGCACAGGCATGGATCATCCTTCCACTGGCCAGAGAAGCAGCGGTAGCACAAGCATGAAGCACGGCCCCAAAAGTGAAATCATCGGGACGGATATGCTTGTGTGCCAACATCTTGACAAATAGTGCAAGGGCCTCATCTGCATAGCCATTCCTCGCAAAACCTCCAATCATCGAAGTCCAGGAGATGTCATTGGTCTCAGGAGCACTTTGAAACAGAGCAGCAGCTTGTTCAATGTGGCCAAGCCTTGTGTATGCATCGATCAGTGAATTCCAGGACACAACGGTTCTACTCTCCATAGACTCGAAGATCTTGACGGCCTGATCTAGCAAGCTGAACTTACTGTAGAAGGAAATAAGTGAGTTATTGACTTCGGGGATTGCATTCCAGCCACTCTGCACAACGATCTTGTGGACTGCAACGCCGGTGGATGGGTAGCGCAGCTCCGTGCAAGCGTCGATCAGAATGCAGAGCGTTGCATCGTCGCAAGACAGTCCGGAAACCCGCATCTCGTTGAACAGAAGCAGACACTGCTTGGCATTGCCACCGCGGGAATACCCCGTGAGCAGCGTGTTCCAGGCAACACTGCTAATGCTTCCAGCGGGCATTTCGTCGAACAGCTCGCGCGCGAGCGCCATGCGGCCCGAGGCGACGTAGGCGTGGAGGAGCGAGCACCAGGACAGCGCGTTGCGGTCGCGCATCTCCCGGAAGGCGCGCGCGGCGTCGTCCGCGCGGGCGCACCTGGCGTACATGGCGACGAGCGCGTTGCCGACGGGGAGCGGCGCGCGCAGGCCGATGCGGAGGAGTCGGGCGTGGAGCTGCGCGCCGGCGCCGGGCGAGCGGAGGGCCGCCGCCGCGGAGAGCGCTGCGGTGATGGAGAAGGCGTCCAGCGTGCCCATGCCGGCGAAAAGCGCGAGGGCCGCGCGCGGCTGGCCGGCGCGGGCGTAGGCGGTGAGCATGGCGTTCCAGGCGACGGCGTCGCGGCGGGGCATCGCGTCGAACACGGCGCGCGCCGCGGCGGCGTCGCCGGCGCGGCCGTGGGAGGCGATCCTGGAGGTGGCGGCGGCCAGGCCGGCGATGGCTCCATGCTCTGCCGCGCGTGCCGCGGCGCGGCCCGCCTGTGGGTTTAGGCTCATCAAATGGCGCAGGCGATGCCGCGAAAGAGCGACACGCTCGCTCGCTGGCGCTGAATGGACTAGTGAGTTTTTCTCGAAAGTCATCTTCTGCTCGCCAGCTCAATTGAGCTCGTGATGAATAGTAAAATCCAAAAAATATAAGAAGAAAAATTTGAAATTTTTTGTGACGAACTTTGGCGAATTTTTCAAGTGCCTGTAAAGTTTCGTCATGAAATGACATTTGTAGAAGTCATGGCAAAGAAAAAAAAATCAGCACTTCAAAATGCTTTCGAAAAATAACATTTTTGGTGCATTGATATTTTTTCCATGACTTCCACAAATGTCATTTCATTTTTTTTATTTTTTTTATTTGCGGGATAAATACTTGTATTACTCAAAAGTCACGGGATTACAATCATCATGCGAGATAACCAAGGTCTCCGGCGGCCCGGAACCTAGCCAGGTCATAGTTCTACCCTGGCCTCTACCAAAAGTAGCTAGGCTATCACTAGCCTTATTTTGAGATCTAGATACAAGAGTAATACAAGTACGACGAAGACTCAAAAGATGTCTAATCTCCTTCACTAGGGCTGCATAAACAGATCGATTAGTTCCCTCACATATGATCATAGACATAGCAACTTGCGCGTCCAACTCCAGCTCAATGGGAAGCTCTGATCGTTGTATAGCCAATGACAGACCCTCCATGCATGCACATAACTCCGCCTCTAGCGCTTCCCTGCACGAGTAGAGCGCCCTACACGCTGAGAAGATGATCTCCCCTCGATCATTACAAAGAATCATTCCGGCCCCCGCCTCATTGCTATTCACAAAAGATCCATCCGTATTCAATTTTACCCAACCTTCCTTTGGTTTTGCCCATACGCGCACAGGTTCGGTGCTCCTCTCTTTCCTTCTACCAGGGGCCAAGGAGATGTATGATTTCCCTTTCTCTGGATCAATATGAGTGTTGCATTTAATAGCCAGAAGGGACACCATATAGCCTTGAAGGAATCTGATCGAAACATCTAAAGGAGGAGCGGGTTTCTCATGGGTCACCTCATTCCTAACATGTCAGCATCTCCATAGGGTCATCAACATCATGCACCTTTCTACCTCATTCAAAGAAGCAAGGGCGATCAGCAGCCACTCCTTCCCGCACCTGGTTACATTCTCAGGGCTTGGTAGCCGCCAGTTTTTTGCCATGGCATTGTACAGGTCCAGCCGAGCTGACATATCATAAATGGGTGGTAATTATCCTCCTCCTCCAACCCACAAACTGGACAAATGCTGGTAATCTCGAGTCCTCTCTTCTGCTTATTTTTCCAAGTTGGAAGCGTGTACGTGGCAAGCCGCCAAGCAAAGTTTTTGACAGTTGGTGGAACACCACATCGCCAAATCATACTCCAGCAAGTTCTAGCTCCATCGGGGAAGAACTAGATCCCGCCATATTGGTTCTGTGCTGCTCATCGAAAGCTAGCTGATACGCGCTCTTAACAGTGAACATACCTAGTCTCCCAGGTCCCCATGCAATGACATCCTCCTCTAGCCTCTGTGACGCCCTAATTTTGATAATTTCGTCCACATCCGCTTGCATGAAATACTGCTGCAGCAACCCAACTTTCCATGCTCCATTGTCATCCAAAAGATCCGAAACAAAACGTATGCGGCATACGCCTTGGGGGAGATTGGTTTATACGAGAAGGGGCGTGGGATCCAATTATCTCGTCAAATTCGGATACTCCTGCCATTCCCGACCTGCCAGACCAAACCCTTCTTAAGGAGGTCCAAACCATAACTGATTGCTTGCCAAGAAGATGACGCATTGCCCGTGAACACCGTGTCCTCAAGTTTACCAGCCAGGTAGTATTTCGCTTTAAGAAGTTGTGCACAAAGACTGTCCGGCCTATCTATCAATCGCCACGCTTGACGAGCAAGTAGGGCCTGGTTAAACAAACGGAGATCCCGGAAGCCAACACCCCCTCTATCTTTGGGTTGCAACAGATGGTCCCATGCTTTCCAATGAACCTTCCTCTTCCCCTTCTCAGATCCCCAATAGAAGTTTCTGCACATTCTCGTCAGATCATCACATACTGAGAAGGGCAGTTTAAACACAACCATAATGTAAGTAGGGAGAGCCTGAGCCACAGACTTGATCAATACCTCTCTCCCGGGCTGAGCCAACCAACCATCACCCCATTGAATAAGTCGCTTAGTAAGCCTCATCTGTAAATTCTGAAATTTGCCCTTTGACATACGTCCTTCCGGAGTTGGGAGGCCAAGGTATTTTTCTTCAAAGATCATACTGGTAACCCCTAAAACATCCCGCACCTGGTCTTGTACAATTGTGGGACAAGCTTTACCAAAAAATAATGAACATTTATTGTAATTCAAGCTCTGTCCCGTCGCTGCACCATACAAATCTAGAGCCAACTTCACATTTTCTGCCTGAACCCTTGAGGCTTCGAAAAATAACATAGTGTCATCAGCAAACAACAAATGTGAAATGCCCGGGGCCCTTCTGCAGACCTTAACTGGGGTAATGCTTCCCGAAGCTACTTTACTCTTCAAGATAGCCGACAAACCATCAACAACAAATAAGAATAGAAATAGTGAGAGAGGGTCTCCCTGCCGTAGCCCACATGACGGTGCAAATGAATCCAAGAGGGTCCCATTTAATTTAACAGAATACCTCACCGATGTGACACAAGACATTATCCAGTCAATCCACCACTGAGAGAACCCCAACTTTTGCATCACCTGCTCCAGAAAAACCCAATCCACCCTATCATATGCCTTTGAGAGGTCGAGCTTATAAGCACAGAGACTTTTTGTAGGGTCTTTTTCCTGCTTGATATAATGAATGCACTCAAAGGCCACCAATGCATTGTCTGTGATCATTCTGCCAGGAATAAAAGCACTCTGTTCAATCAAGATCAAAGTAACATTATAGAGGCTAATCGGCCTGTAACCAGACATCCTGACAGGGTTAGTAATTTTGGGAATAAGAACAATGGAAGTAGAGTTAACTCCCTCTGGCATAATCCCTGTCTGGAAGAAATCCTTAACCGCTGCAATGACTCCATCCTTCAAGGTGCTCCAATTCCTCTGAAAGAATCTAGCCGGAAAAACGTTCGGCCCCGGTGCTTTCAAGGGCCCTATTTGAAACAGAGCATCTGAAATTTCCTTGTCAGTAAAAGGAGCGCACAGTCTCCGGTTATCCTCTTCAGAGACCAAGGACTCGAACAGGTCCAATACAGGTGCGGCATCAAGTGAAGGAACTGCAGCAAATATAGTGTGAAAATAATCATTCACAACCTTCCCCATAGCTGCCAAATCTGAATGTACAACACCTATGTTGTGAGTAAGCTGCCGGATTTTATTTTTCCTAGCTCTCCAAATAGCTTTACTCTGAAAAAAATTTGTGTTACGATCACCTTATTTCAGCCAAGAGATCCTAGATCGCTGTAGCCAAATCATCTCCTCTTGATACAAAAGTTCGTTCATTCTATCCGTCACTCTTTGGATGTCCTCTCTGTCAGCGTTCATATGCATGAGCTCTTCTAGCTGAGTTTGGGACTTTGCAATTTCACGTGATACATTACCGAATTTCCTGCTCCACCTTCTTAGCGACCTCAAGGTCGTCGACAGCGCCCTTTGCAGCTGCTCTAAATTCTGCACCTGCCCAACTGCTACCCACGCCTCTTTTATCACATCTGGCAAAGACGAATCTTTTTCCCAAAAAAATTCACACCTTCTGTTCTTCACGGGGCTCGGTCCTGGATCTTTCTCTCCTTTCAGAATCACCATAACATGGTCTGAGCAAGGTGACAAGACATGCTCAACAGATGCAAACGCATACATATTACGCTAGGAACTTGAAGCAATAGCACGATCTAACCGCACCCGAACATTGTTCATGCCACTTCTCTTGTTATCATATGTGAATGGTACACCCTTAAACCCTAGATCCACCAATCTGCACGTCTCCAACACATCTCTGAAAGCGATCATTTGAGCTTCGGCCCTTGGTGTGGCGGAGAAGTGTTCAAAGTCCCATAATGCCTCATTAAAGTCACCAATAACTAACCAAGGAATATCATTGACAGATTTGAGCTGTTGTAGCTTAGACCACATGAGATGCCTATTCTCCACGCGAGGTTCTCCATATACAAAGGTGATGCGCCAAGGTGATGCACCAAGGTGCTGCTCCCTCACTAATCCGAACAGTGGTATCAATGTATCTGTCCTCCTTGTCCAATATATCCACCATGCAGTTTTCATGCCAATATAAAGCTAGCCCACCACTCAAGCCATTGCTATCCACACCGCAAAAACCCTTCAGACCCAACCTGCTCCGAAGTCTCCTCATCTTAGCCTCTTTCTGCCTCGTTTCACACAAAAATACGAACATGGGGGAATGCGACTGGCACACCGTCGCTAACTCTCGAACTGTCCGGGGATTCCCCCCACCCCGGCAGTTCCAACTGAGGCAATTCATTGGGCTCGGCGGTCCTCCATGACGGAGGCCGCCTCTCTTGAGATGTCCATGTCCTCTTCTAATCCCTCTATTCCTTCCGCTCCCTGCTTCCTCCTTTTAACAACGGGGGCCTTACCAGGGGTCGACACCGAGGAGCTAGCACTCGGGTCGGTTGCCGCTCCTCCCCCATGCTCTATCATCAATACCCTACCCGCCACCTTTCCTACTAGGTCGGGCACCGGCTGACCTCTCACCGTAATACTACCGTCCCCCGCAATGAGGGACGACCCTCTTCAATAGATCCTCCGATGAAAGCTAATGCTCGCTCCGGCCTTGCCACATTGTCATGGCCATCACCAACTTCCTCCCAACCTCCTGCATGGTTGGTCCTACCTCCCCTAGAACTGCTACCACCTCCTCCTCTTCTTCCTCATCTACTGCCTCCACCTACACCCCCTCTACCAGCTTCAGACCAACCCCCTCTACCGCCTCTAGCTCCACTACCAACCGGCTCACTAATCCAGTGTAGCCAATCTCCCCATTCACACGAACGTGGGTCATGAACCCCATCGCCACACTCCTCCACCACATGCCCCATGCATCCACAAAAGAAGCAAAAATCTGGCAATTTTTCATAGTAAACCGGGTACTTCTTCCTTTCTTTGAGTGTAATAGGGACAAAACGAACCAGCGGATTATTCACATTAACAAACACCCCCCCTCTCAAGTAGCTCGACGGCTTGATTCTTCCTTCATTGACAACCACCGTGAATGGAGGCTCCCCAACCTTTTGGCTACCTTCTCAGCGAGCTCCTTCTTCCTTGTCAAGCCATCTGGCAAGCCCTTTACTCTTGCC